CCTATAGAAGCAGCACTAGAAGAGATTTCTATTTCATAGTACTGCTACTAATTCAAGCGGTTTCCATGAAAAGAGTACGTTTTGAAACTCTGAGCTTCTGACTTTTGGAAGGTGGCCCGTGGTAGGTCAAGGATCAGCTTATAGCTTATGTCTCTAAGCCTATTAAATCTACTTTTGATCTGTCCTGTACCCTGATTTTCCCTAACTGCCGGCTTAGAAAGCATGCTTTCTCTACCCTGCCCAATTGCTTAATAATTGGGTAGGATGAGGCTTTACAACTGGAAGAAGGAAAAGCCAGGGTGATTTATAAATGGGCAGTTATTGCGAGAGTTCACTCAGCTAATTTAGAGTTAATTATATTTGAGATGGTTTTAACTTCAACCTCTTTTTTTTTTTTTTTAAACAGGACTGTCATAGTTGGTATTATTTATGTGCCAGTGACTTGCTAAAGCACAGAGGCACAGGGCAGCTTGTGCAATTAATCTCTTGCATTAGACAGAAACAGTTGTTCTAATTTTATTTTCATCTAAGCATGGATCGTGTCGGGTTGGCCAATGCATTTGGTCGAAGGACAAAGTTCAAGTGTTTATGGCTGTATATTTTAAAGCTGATTTGTGAAAGAGGAGGAAATATTTCGAAGAATCAGAGTTTTACCAACTTAGGAGCTGTGGGTTGCTGAAGAATCAGCATTTAACTGCATTATTTTAATGATAAAATCTATTCAAATTGTGTTTGGGCTAGTAAATCTGATATTTATATCTATGTTTTGAAGATTTTTGGTTTACTTATAAGCATTTCTTGGTGCCAACAAAAAATATTTCCTCCCTCTTTCTAACCTGTACTTTGATGTCTAATACATAGTGAGTATCTCCTATATGTTGATTGAAGTGTATATTTTTTCCTGTGAAAAGTTTGTTCTTAGGGTGAATTAGATTAGTAATTCTGACCCTCCATACTTAATATATCACAAGAAGGGAAGTAACATTTTTAGTAGTGCTTTTTTTGACCTCTAATTTTATAATACCCATTTTCAGATTTTGTGTGCTTGTTAAAGAACTCTCATAGATTTATATCTTACGAACAACTGTTAGCTTCCTGTAAATTGTTTGTTTTAGTTTTTAGTACATGTGTATCCATCACCTACTTTATTTATTTATTTATTTTTTTAAGATTTATTTATTTATTTGTTTGTTTATTTATTTATACAAGCACTGGGTACAGTCAGAAGCGCGGGAGGGTGAGAGAGAATTCACCAGAGCCAGAGCGGGGAGCAGAGCAGGCAGAAGGACCGAAGTACACTGCTGAGGGGAGCAGCGGGCAGCAGGAGAGGTCTGTGTGCCATGTGGGACCCTCCTCCGGTGGCCTGGGAGCAGCCGGGAATCGAACCGGCGCTGCAGAGGCTGCAGGCAGCTTCGCAACCCAGCGCTCAACCGCTGCGCCACCAGGGAGGCCCACCATCACCTACTTTAATAAATAAAACTTTACAAAACATTCCCTGGGGCTACCACTCTGATTTTGAAGGTTTTTTTTTTTTTTGCATATTTTCATATTTCCCTACACATGGATATCACATGTTTATCCCTACACTTGTATATATCCTCAAACCACAAATACTATTTATTGTTTTATATTTTTGAAACCTATAAAATATCAAATGCACATATCATTCTAAGTTGTATGTTCAATCTGATGGTAACAAATTATCTACATTGGTAAATGTTCAAGTTAATTTCTTTAAATTCCTGTGTGGAACTCACTGTACATATCCATCACAGCCATCTACTTATATCTAGTTTCTCTTTAGCAGACCTTTAGGTTGATCCCTCTGTTTTGTTATTTCAGTCAATATAGCTCTCCTTCCACACACTTGTGCACAGTTTTATAAGAATCTCTAGAATATAATGGAAAAGTTCTTCCTTAAGGTGGAATGCCAAGTAATGAATGTGAAAGGGATGAGGAATGAGGAAATGCTATTTTAAGAGATACACAATACCAATTCATTCAGACAAGAATCATCAAAAGATGCTAATACCATTGGTTGAGGGTTTGAGAGCAGGGTATTTATGCAGTCTTGACCATTTCTTCCATTTATAGATACTTATAGGTAAACAAGTATCTACATATTAATCAAAAAGAGAAAACTAGTAACTTTACATAGTAAACATTACCTTAAGCCAAGATCAAAACATCCTCAATCATGGACCAAATTGATGTCAGGCACCCCCCAATTTGAAGCACTGAGAAGGATACAATATCACTTACGTGGCATTCTTGTCTCCAGTGTACAGCCTGCATTTGATTATGAGAAGACATAAGATTACCTGAAGTTGAGAGACAATCTATAAAATAAACAGATCATATTCCTAAAAAGTGTCAGTGTTTTGAAAAACAAAGAAAGGTCGAGGAAGCTTTTTTTTTTTTAAAGATTTATTTTATTTATTTATGCATACAAGAGCTGGGGTGTAGGCCAGAGGTGTAGGTAAGGAGAGGTGAGAGGATTCAGCAGAGACAGAGTGGGGAGCAGAACAGGCAGATTGAAATACACTGCTCACAGTAGCAGCAGGTGAGAACAGGAGATATCTGCTGTGCCCTGTGGGTTAGCTCCCTGGCCTGGGATCAAACCCTTGCTACAGTGGCTGTAGATAGCTTCATAGTGCTGAGACTTAACCCCTTGCACCACCAGGGAGGCCTGAGGAACTTTTTGTATTATAAAGACTAAAGAGTTGGCATGTAAATGTAATATACAATTCTGGGTGGAATCCTGAACCAGAAAAGAGTGCTGTAAGGGTATGTCAAGGTTTGAATAAGGCCCGTAGATTAGATACTAGTACTGTGATCATGTCAGCTTTTCTGATTTTTGATAACTGGATTGTGACATGACCTGAGGAAATCTGTGGTGAAATATCTGGGGATAAAGGGTATTATGGCTGTTATTCATTCTCAAGTGATTCAGATTAAAAAAAAAAGTATTGTTTTTATACATGTAGAGAGAGAACAATAAAAATGAGCAGAATGTAGATGACTAGTGAATCTGGTTAAACAATTGTTGCAGCTTTCTGTACATTTAAAATTATTGAAGGAGTATATTTCTGACGAATTCATGGGAGTAGAATTTCCTGGGTTTTTGGCTATGAATGTCTCTAAATTTTATAGACAGTGCCAACTAGTTTTCATTGTAGTACTAATTACATTCTCACTATCCCACATCTTCACTTGATGTTACCAAATTAAAATTTTTTGTTAGTTTTCATATGCATGAAATATTATCTCATTGTGATTTTACTTTGCATTTTTCCATTTATAGTGAAGCTAAAAAGCTTTTCAAAGCTTTTCAAAGTTTAGTCATTATGGTTTATACTTTTATGAAGCACTTGCCATATTTTAGCTATTTTATCCCCCCTGGGTTCTTTAACTTTTTCTTATTAATCCTATGTGTGTTCTGAAATTAATCCTTTGTCAATTAGCTACATTGCAGTTATCTACATACTTTCTAGAGAGGATTGGTAAAAAATATATAATTGAGTTATATATATATTTTAAAGATTTATTTATTTATGCATACAGGATTGGGGTACAGGCCAGAATTGTAGGAGGTGAGAGGATCCATCAGAGACAGATTGGGGAACAGAACAGGCAGATTGACCAAGTACACTGCCAAGGGGAGCAATGGGAGAGTCAGGAGAGGTCTGCTGCGCCCATCTGGGTTGCTCCTTGGCCGACGGGGGATTGAACTTGTGCTGCAGTGGCTCCGGATAGCTGCATAGGTTGCGTCTTAACCTCTTGCACCACCAGGGAGGCCCGAGTTATATTTTATTTGAGTTACAAAGAATAAAGTAGGTAAGAGGGTAGAGAAAATATTGCACATGAAGTGTGTAGAGGCTAGTGGCCTGGCTTCTGTTTATAGACCTCTTCTCTCCTGGCCTAGTTAATAATATGAGGCAACTTGAACTTGCATTAGTATTTCTGATCCTTCTGCAAAGGTTATTTTTAGGAGTGTCTACTGTCTTCAGTGCGTTTCATTCAGAGATTTGCCTAATAATTTGTTCCTTCTCCCTCTTCTAGACTTAAAAATGATTTTATATTGCTAAATAACGAAACTCTTACATACCTATTAGCCAAGGTTACTTGGATTGAGTAATCTTGAGCAAGAGTGATAGCAATAATTTAGTAGGGACACTATTTTGGTTTACCTTCTAATATTATTAGACTGTTTTCAGAGATAGTGAAACAAGATGAAATCACTGAGATCTGACTATTGAAAAAGGTAATCTAATAATCATATTGTTCTAGTTCTTAAGGTGATGAGGTATTAGCTTTACTTGTGAGTAAAGCAAAACAAAACAAACAAACCAAAAACCAAAAATGGCAATAAAATGAGGAAATTGAACTAAATCAACACTAAAATCTCAAAACTTTAGCCTTGTAAGGAAACTAAAAATTCTACCTTCATTTCATTTATAAGGGACATTAATTTTGGTGACTTAAGTAGAGGCTGACTGGAGGTTGTCCTAAACAATATTTGACTTTGGTCCCAGGTCCTCTTTACTTTCTACTCTAGTGTGTTATGTTGCTGTTCTTTCATTACCCAATTTATTGCAGCTTCTGTGGATGAACATATAAATTCTTCAGAGGGTTAGCAATGCAGCTTTCTCCAATTTCCTCATTGATTTCCTAGCAAACTGGAAAGTGAAAATCAAAGCTCTTTCAGGGAATTTAACATTTTAATCTCCAAAATAAAAACCTTTTTTAATATAGAAAATAAAATACTGAGAACCAAAATTCCTCCGTAATGAATCAAATTCATTAAATACAAGCCATTTCATGAAGATTCCATGATTTCTCCTCTCTTCCCACTGCAATTGCTTGTATTTATTTCTGAAATCTCTTCCATGTTACCCATTAAGTTTATTCACTTGTCGTCTTCACAATTAAAGTTGCTCCTTTGGTCAGTTGATCTTCTGTCCTATGGCATTTCTCATGTTTTGCTGTTTTCTTTTAAGGTATTATCCAAAGAGATGAGTCACCCATGGAAAAAGGGCTCTCCGGTCTTCGAGGAAGGGACTTTGAGCTGTCTGATGTCTTTTATTTCTCCAAGAAGGGATTGGAAGCCATTGTGGAAGATGAGGTGACTCAGAGGTTCTCCTCAGAGGAGCTAGTGTCATGGAATCTCCTTACAAGGACCAATATAAATTTCCAGTACATCAGTCTGCGACTCACCTTGGTGTGGGTGCTGGGCGTCATCGTACGCTACTGTGTCCTTCTGCCCCTGAGGTATGTCTTTTGCCCAGTAATTTAATGGTATAATTTAATGGTATAATTGGTTCAGCGTTCCTTTTTAATCCTGTGTGTAGTGGCCACATGAGAGTATTGTGGTACTAATCCCAGCCCTTCCCACTTATGAAACACCACCAAAGGTGGCCTCCACAGCTTTATCTATTTGCTGTTCGTATTTTCTCCCCAATGACGGTATGTATCAGAATCCAATATATACAACCTGGATCCCCATTCCTGCTTCAGACGTAATTTGAGGATGCATTGTAAAGGAAGGTTAGAAAAAAAAGAGAAGTTTTTCGGGTTCACATTCACCAGAGTGTCAACCAAGCTATCATGGACTTTCTTGGCTGCTCATAGCTGCACAGGTGAGGAAAAGAATTCCTGAGAGTCATTATCATGTGGGAGAGAACCATTTAGAGGAGTGAATTTGTTCCATACATTTCTATCAGGATTGCTCATATTTCTTAAATAATTTCCCCACCTGGGTCTCCTTCTGGTTCTAGGTTTGAGTGCTGCCCAATGAGGAGGTAGCCTCAAGCTCAGTTAGCGGGAACCACAGTGTGGATGAGTTGACACACAGTGGGATGATGTTGCAGTGGCCAATGCTGATGAACATGGTGATGGCAAGTAATAAGTGTGTACCAGCCACATCCTTGCTATTGATTGTCTTGGTTCATTTCCCTGGACATGGCCTTGGCATCCACTCAATAGAGCTTTCCAGGCAGTTGCTACCAGCCAATGAAAATTGGCAGATGAGCTGAAACCTCTTTAGTAATTCCTTGGGTGGCCTCTACTTGCCTCATTCAGATTTATTACAAGGAAAGAGATTGCTTAAGCATACACAAACACATTTCTAAGAAGCTCTTACTGTTTTCTTTTGCCCATGTTTCCAAGGTCCAGACTTTGGAGCACAGTATGTTTTTTTGGTAATAATTTAAACTTTGATAGCAAAGTTAAATTCAGGTTTCACATGCACTTCTGCATGAACCTTAAACCAATGTCCCCAAAGTGGGGTTCATGTACCCTGGGGATATATAAGATTATCTATTGTGTGCAAGAAGGCAATACTAGAGCTTATATTTTTTAGAAGTTTCTAATCAGTTTATAGATAGAGTTTCTATTTATTTTATATTTCTGTTTTTATTCTGAAAAAGTGAAATTTCAGCAAAGTTGAAGATATGTGTATGTTTTTATATGTTGCTATGTATGTGTTCTAGCATCTTCACTTGGTCCTTGGGTGGGGTGGAAGGGATCAGGGACTGTATCCAAGACAACCTGGAACATGACTTTATTTATTTATTTATTTATTTATTTAATAATAAATTTTATTTTTATATTCCCCATACAGTTGCAACCCCCCTTTCTGATCCCAATCCCTCCCCTCCCACCCCCCCCCAAAAGTGTCTCTGTTTCATAGTTTTTTGTTGATTCTGATTTTCACTTTCTTATAGTTATTCATTTTCCTGGTCCCTTATTTAAGTTTTCTAGATTCCTGCTATGAGTGAGACCATCCGGTATTTTTCTTTTTCTTTTTGGCTTATTTCGCTGAGCATGATCCCTTCCAGCGCCATCCATGTTGCTGCAAATTGCATGTGTTTATCTTTTTTGAATGCTGAATAATATTCCATGGTGTATATGTACCACAGCTTCTTGATCCAGTCATCTATTTTTGGGCATTTGGGTTGTTTCCAAAGCTTAGCTATTGTAAACAGTGCTGCTATAAACATAGGGGTGCAGGTGTTCTTTGGAATGGATGTTTCTGTGTCCTTTGGGTAGATACCTAGGAGTGGAATTGCTGGATCATATGGAAGCTCTATGTTTAGTAGGTCCAGAAATCTCCACACAGCTCTCCATAGTGGTTGGACCAGTTTGCACTCCCACCAACAGTGCAGGAGAGTTCCTTTTTCTCCACACCCTCGCCAACATTTGTTGTTGCTAGTTTTTTTAATATGTGCCATTCTCACTGGGGTAAGATGGTATCTCATGGTAGTTTTGATTTGCATTTCCCTGATGACAAGTGATGTTGAACATTTTTTCATATGCCTGTTGGCCATTTGTATTTCCTCTTCAGAGAAGTTTCTTTTTAGCTCTTCTGCCCATTTTTTGACAGGATTATTTTCTTTGTTGTTGCTGAGTCTCATCAGCTCTTTGCAGATTTTTGTGATCAGTCCTTTATCATTAGTGTTGGGTGCACAAATGTTCTCCCAGTTGGTGGGGTTTCTCTTTGTTTTTGTTATTGTCTCTTTTGCTGTGCAGAAGCTCTTTAATTTGATGTAGTCCCAGGTGTTTATCTTTGCCTTCACTATCACTGCTTTGGGTGATGTGTCTGTAAAGATGTCTTTGATGTGCAAATCACGTAGTGTTTCGCCTATATTTCCTTCTATATATTTTATGGTTTCAGGTCTTATGTCTAGTTCTTTAATCCATTTTGAGTTGATTTTCGTGTATGGTGTGAGGTAGTGGTCAAGCTTCATTCTTTTGCATGTAGCAACCCAGTTTTCCCAGCACCATTTATTGAATAAACTTTCTTTGCTCCAATGCATAGTCTTTGCTCCTTTGTCAAAGATTAGTTGACCATAGATCTGTGGGTTTATTTCTGGATTTTCTATTTGATTCCATTGGTCTGTATGTCTGTTCTTGTGGAACATGACATTTTAACACCAGATACCTGAGATGCCTTCGTTTGTTGTTGGTTACTTTCATCATGCAGTGATTGCCCCCCAAAAAAATTGTGTTATGACTCTATCTAATTTAATTAAAGTAACACTCACAAAATAGATAAATGACAGAAAAGATTCTTGCAAAGAAACTATACTTAAGATAATCTGATAATGTAAGCATCCAAGATCAAACAGAAGATGATAAAATTGAGACTCCTACTCCCAGTACATGCTGTACAGTGTGAAAGAATTGCTTTGTGCATGCTTTTCAAAAGAAGCATTTACTACAACATGAGCATTTATTTACTTTTTAATTTGATTTTTATTAAATTTGCAGTTTTTTAAAATAATTATTTTTTTTTATTTTTTACATAATTGTTCATTTTTAAACAATATTTGCTTCCCCCCACCCCCTCAGGTATAGTCCCCATAAGCAATTTACAGATTCAATGTGAGCATTTTAAAAATAAAAAGTATTTTTTTTTTTACACTGATGTCTTATTTGGTTTCCCTATATTCCTGCTATAAGTGAAACCATGAGATATTTTTCTTTTTCCTTCTGGCTTATTTCATGGACTGAAGTGATGGTGCGCGGGTGCATTGGTGAAGGAAACTCTATGGGGACTATACCTGAGGGGGTAGGGTGAAGCAAATATTGTTTAAAAATGAATAATGATGTAAAAAATAATCATCATAATAAAAATAATAATAAAAAATTAATTAAAAAAAAGAAAAAAAAGTAGGGCCTCCTGTTGGCACAAGAGATTAAGTGTCAGCACACTGAAGCTATCTGCAGCACCAGTTCCATACCAGGCCAGGGAGGAGCTCGACCCCGTCCAGGGAAGCTAACCAGCATGATGCAGCAGACCTCTCCTGTCTCATCCACTGCTCTCCTCAGCAGTGTATTTCAGTCAATCTGCCTGTTCTGCTCCCCATTCTATCTCTGATGAATCCTCTCATCCCTAGCACCTCTGACCTGTATCCCAGTTCTTGTATGCATAAATAAGTAAATCTTTTTTAAAAAAAGTAAAAAAATGGAAAAAAGCAAGATCATCCTAAAACTGACTGTGATATTGATGGTACAACTCTACGACTATTCCTCAAATTGTTGACTTGTGTATTCTAAATGGGTGATTTGTATGCTATGTGAATTATATCTCAGAAAAGCTCCTAAAAGAATAGATTGTGGCTGAAAACTGGTGTGATCTATGAGAACTCTCAAGTTGTCTTACTTAAACAAGAAAACAAGATTTTCTGGCCTGTTAATCTGGCAGAGTTTTTCAGGTATTTTGAGCCCAATTGTTAGACAAGTTAAAATGTAACCCCTTCTGATTTAATATTTAGAAACAAGAGATTTCATTAGGGCAAAATAGTGACACATTACTGCTAAAGCTTTTGCATAATTGATGGATGAGATTAAGCCATGATTTAGTAATTTCATGAGTGACTGCACAGAAATATCACTTAAAGAAAACTGAGCCTGACGTTTATATTGCTGTGTCAAAAGGTATAAAAGCAAACCTTACTAAGGTATTCATAAGAATGACCCATTTATTTTGAAAGATTTAAAATCTCAATATTTTCTTTTTGAGTAATCCCATTTACATTTCTAAAAATGACTATCTTCATTTTGAAGTGATTGAAAAATATATTAAAAGCACTTTACACAAATGAGAAAGTGTCTGGCCATTAGAGATATTGTTAGTCAACTTTTGAGTTAGCTTGACCTAATATATAGGGACAACAGATTTTCATTAAAGGATTCCTGCATGGAACTATAGTTTTCTGTAGTTGTTATGAAATAAATCTTAAGTGTAAGTCTTTGTTATTTGTCATACATTTCAAATTCCTTTGAGAAAAAATTGAACTGTGCCCTTTGCCACCTGTCAATAGAAAACAAAGAAAAATAAGTTATTTTCATTTCTTTGTAAAATATTTCCATATAATCATAGCTGGAGATGCCAAAGTATTTAGAACAAAATAATAAGGTAATAACTTTCAACCTGAAATAACATTTATAGAACATGTGTACTTAAAATAATTAAAATAGGGCCTCACCTGGTGGCACAGGCAGTTGAGTGAGCCCTGTCCGCAGCCTCTGCAGCGCCGGTTCGATCCCGGGCGGTGAGGGTCCCACATGGCACGGCAGACCTCTCCTGTCGCTCCCACTGCTCCCCTCAGCAGTGTATTTCGTCAGTCTGCCTGTTCTGTTCCCCACTCTATCTCTGGTGAATCCTCTCACCCTCCCGCGCATCTGGCCTGTACCCCGGTTCTTGGATAAATAAATCTTTAAAAATAAATAAATAAAATAATTTAAATACTTTAAGAACAGAGGCAAGAGTTTTTTCCTTTCACTTTATTCCTTTTGCTATCCCTCTGAAAGCTTTGATGATTGTATAGATTGAACTTGACAGTTTTGTAAACAAATTCCCGGGCCTTCTCTGTGCATCTGTAGATTATGTGCTCACTGTTATTTTGAAAATTTCATTATACTCTATATTATTTTGAAACTTGCTGTGGTTTTTTTCATCTCAAAATGTACCAAGGACTATTCTTCCATGTGAGAATCTATAGATATACCTAGTTCTTCTTTTTAAAAAAGAAGAACTTTTTATTTTTTATTTATTTATGCATATAAGAACTGGAGTGTAGGCCAGAGGTGTGTGTGGGGAGTGAGAGACCAGAGACAGAGTGGGGAGCAGAACAGGCAGATTGACTGAAATACACCAAGGGGAGCAGTGGGCGAGAGAGGAGAGGTCTGCTGCGCCATGTGGGTCAGCTCCATGCCCCGGGATCGAACTCATGCTACAGTGGCTGACAATAGCTTGATAACTCTGAGACTTTAACTCCCGAGGCACCAGGGAGGCCTCAGATTTACCCAAATTTTAATGGCTGCATCCTATTTTATAGTGTGGATGCTCTATACTTTACTTATAATGTCATTATTTAGGAACATTTATGTTTTTTTCCCTTTGCCCCTGCTATTTCACTAACGTTTGCATTACCATTTCGGTTTTTTTTTTCAGGATTACCTTGGCTTTCATTGGAATCAGTTTGTTGGTCATGGGAACCACACTGGTCGGGCAGCTGCCAGACAGCAGGTGAAATATTTCCTTTCACCCAGTCATAAGTAGAAGTCCCTTTGCTCATTTGTGCTGGCAAAGAGAATATTTGTTTGATTCCTGCATATTGCATTAAATTTGTGGCCCCAGTACACTTACTACAATTCTACTGACTTCATCTTCATAGTCTTTATGTGATTTTTTCCATCATACTTCCATATAAATCAGAAGAACTTGCTTTTTCAAAGGGAAAGTGAAGGAAGAAGATAAGACTACAGACTCAAAGGAAAGTGAGTCTCATAGCATTGTCACATTCATTGGGCCAAGACCAAAGAAGCTTCAGCTTCAGGAAGTTATAATTATAGCCCAAGAGGGTTGGGTTGGGTTTCTTTCTTTCTTTCTTTCTTTCTTTCTTTCTTTCTTTCTTTCTTTCTTTCTTTTTTTCTTTCTTTCTTTCTTCTTTCTTTTTTCTTTCTTTCTTTCTTTCTTTCTTCTTTCTTTCTTTCTTTCTTCTCTCTCTCTTTCTCTCTCTCTCTCTCTCTCTCTTTCTCTTTCTCTCTTTCTCTCTCTCTTTCTCTCTCTCTTTCTCTCTCTCTTTCTCTCTTTCTTTCTCTCTTTCTTTCTCTCTCTCTTTCTCTCTTTCTCTCTCTCTTTCTCTCTCTTTCTTCTCTCTCTCTTCTCTCTCTCTTTTCTCTCTCTTTCTCTCTTTCTTCTCTCTTTCTTTCTCTCTCTTTCTCCTCTCTCTTTCTCTCTCTCTTTCTCTCTTCTCTTTCTTTCTTTTTTTCTTTCTTTCTTTCTTTTCTTTCTTCTTTCTTCTTTCTTTCTTTCTTTCTTTCTTTCTTTCTTTCTTTCTTTCTTTCTTTCTTTCTTTCTTTCTTTCTTTCTTTCTTTCTTTCTTTCTTTCTTTCTTTCTTTCTCTCTCTCTCTCTCTCTCTCTCTCTCTCTCTCTCTCTCTCTCTCTCTCCCTCCCTCCCCCTCCCTCCCTCCCTCTCCCTCCCCCCTCCCTCCCTCCTCCCTCCCCCTCCCTTCCTTCCTTCCTTCCTTCCTTCCTTCCTTCCTTCCTTCCTTCCTTCCTTCCTTCCTTCCTTCCTTCCTTCCTTCCCTCCTTCCCTCCTTCCCTCCTTCCTTCTTTCTTTCTTTTTTGACTTTTGAGTTGATGATATTTATTTTTTTAATTTTTAATTTTTTTAAATTTTAAATTTAAATTAAAATTTTTTTTTTTTTAATATCTAGGCTGCTTTCTGTAAGTTCTTTCCTATATGCCTTGGACCAGACTATAAGAACTGAGCTGTGCTTGTGTTCCTGAACACAGTGTGCTCCTGTGAGGGAGCACATTGACATTTTCATTGCATTGTTCCTTAGAAATGCCCAGAACTGCATAATAAAGTGTTTTGTTTTGTTTTTTTTTCCCTTCAGCCTCAAAAACTGGCTGAGTGAACTGGTCCACCTGACTTGCTGCCGGATCTGTGTGCGGGCTCTCTCTGGAACCATTCACTATCATAACAAGTGAGTGTCTGCTGACTTTTGCATTTTTCTAGGTAAATCCTGTATGTAATACAGTGGCTGAGAGGAAGCAGGTAAAATAAAAGTCCTTCCGGTGTGTTTATCCTTTCTACTTAGAGTGTTACAGACATATGATGCCAATAGTTTTTTGTAAATAAAATTTTATCAGAACCCAGCTGCGTTAATTTATTTACATATTTTCTGTGGCTTCCTTTGTATGAAAACACCAAACTCCTGTAGTTTTGACAGAGACCAGCTGATTTTCAAAGCTTAAAGTAATTACTATTTCAACCATCATAGGAAAGGTTTGCCAACCTCTCCTCTAAGGGGTGGGAGGAAGGAAGCTATAGTAAGTTTACTCTGTTGATCACCATGAAACCATTAAAAGTGATGTTTATGAAGATGGCAATAACATGAAAATATTTGTGATAAAATAAGTGAAACTTAATGTATCACAAAATCTATTAAAGTTGTGGAATCTTTGTAATGCAGTCTAATATTTTAAAATTATTTTTCATCATAAAAGGAAAATATGACAAAAACAACAACAAATATATATAAAAAGAATGCCATCGGCCCCTTCTCCCATTCTCTTACCCTACCCTCATCATACTGCCTAGAGATAAACTTGTTAGACAGACATAAGTACTTCCATATTTTATTCCCTTAATGTACTTCTTTAAAAAGGCAGAGGGGAGGATGAATCTCTATATGCTGTTCTGCAAATACAGAACATTTTTTCATGGCTTGGCACTTACAATTGTTTGTAATTGCAGGCAGTATCGACCTCAGAAGGGAGGCATTTGTGTGGCCAACCATACCTCCCCAATAGATGTTCTGATCTTGACCACAGATGGGTGCTATGCTATGGTAAGAGCAGCTAATTGACATTTCATTGTAGTTGCATATTTTATGGATTGCCCAAGCTTTTGATATGTTTTGGCATGAATTAGAGTTAGTTTCATATCAGAGAATGACTGCATCATACTACTGGAACTAAATAAGTTATGTAATATATTCGCATGAGGAATATATATTACAAGACAAAGAAAAAAAGTAAGTTTTTAAAGTAGTAAAAGATTAACTTATTAAAAATGTAGACATAATTGAAGTTGATCAGACTTTGTAAAGTTGAATTCATCTTGCTTATAAGAACCCTGCATGATTTAATGACACTTTTGAGACATTAAAATCTTCCTCTTCAGAGTTGTCCAAATCCCTTATCAGCCAATTAGTTCTGTCTTAGAGAGGTGTATGCAATTAAAAAAAAAAATATGGCTCTTTAATAATTCTCAAGCAAGAAAGGCAAATATTTATAATACATTGCCTTTCTCATTTCTTGCCTACATCCCCAAAGAAAAGGTAACAAAACGAAACCCAACAATGAAACATAACCCACAGTAAAGTCAAACACTCCAAAAACTCTTTTTGTGTGGATGAACCACACTCTGGCATTTTTTCAATTTTTTTTTTTTTTTTTTTTTTTTTGCATAGAAAAGCTGGGTTGTAGGCCAGAAGTGCTGGGAGTGTTGGGAGTGGGAGAATTAACCAGAGGCAGTGTGGGGAGCAGAACTGGCGGATTTACTGAAATACATCGTTAAGGTGAGCAGTGACTCAGACAAGAGAGGTCTGCTGCCCCATATATGGGTTAGCAACCTGACTGGGAATTGAACTTAGGCCTTAGGGGTAATAGTCCTGAGAATTAACCCCTTGGCCACCAGGGAGACCCTCAAAATTTTGTTTTCTACTAGCTTTAAGAATTTGTCAAGATTTCCTTCGTCGTCTTTATATAGGTAAATGTTGAAAGGTAACTAAAATGTTCTTTTCTGCAGGTGGTGAATATGCCCTAAGTCAGTGTGTGGAATAGAATGATGAGGAAGGTCTCAGGGAGTCTTCTTCTTTTCATATCTCCTGGTGGTTGCTTAAGCTTCAAAGAGACCTGATGGTTTTAATTTTGTTTGTCAGCTACAGCGACTGATAGTTGTGGTCTACTGTGCTTCTCTGGAAAGGCATTTGAAGGTGCCAACATTAAGTTTCTGCTGTTGGAAGGAGTTAGGGGCTGTAGGCACATGTATTGGTGTTTGACTCACCATAGATTATATGGTAATTGAAGGACCTGTGTAGAAATTCTAAGTTATGGCCAGATATTTAATTAGTCTAAAGCATAATTTCAGATCTCTAACCCTTGGGCAACAAATTTTAATGCGTTATGAAATTTCTCAGAGTTGTGGAGTTGTTTCTCAACCTAAGGAAAGTTTAACTGCTTCTGAAAAGATTTATGGAAATTGGTAGTACTTAATCTTTTTTAGGTCAGGAGTCAGTTAAGAATTATGTATACCTTTTTAAGCAAAAACGTGTGTACATTGTATAAACACAATTGGTGTGTAATTTCCAAGTGTTCATGGATTCCCCCAAAGCCCATCTAAGGATTCTCATGTAAGCAATCTTTGACAGACTCCAGCACAGTTTTGGGAGTATAGAAAATCTTTGTATCTATGTGAGCAATCCTTTTCACAGCTATTATATTTGACATTCCCATAACCTAGTGAGGTTAAAATTCAGATTTTGTTAAACATGAGAAAACTGAAGCTCAGACCTTTTAGGTCACCTGCCATTTAATTCACTCAGTGTTGTGATTAACAAAGAGTTAAGTATAACTCATTTGTGACTAAGGGCCTCAATTTTTTTTTAAAGATTTTATTTATTTATGCATACAAGATCTGGGGTACGGACCAGAGGTGTGGGGGGTGAGGGGATTCACCAGAGACAGTGGGGAACAGAACAGGCAGAATGCCTGAAACACACTGCTGAGGGGAGCAGTGGGTGAGTCAAGAGAGGTCTGCTGCACCATGTGGGTTGCTCCCTGGCTGGGGATCGAACTTGCGCTGCAGTGGCTATGGACAGCTTCATATGTTGTGTCCTAACCCCTTGCGCCACTAGGGAGGAGGGGCCTCAAAATTTTGTTGACATTTTCCATGGTTTGGGGTATAACTCTAACTACAATATTAACAAAGTTTTAGAAAAGCACAGTAACTGTGAACTTTCCAGTGGGCTGAGTGATAGAAATCTTGGCCAGCCAGATTTAAATCAAGAGCAGTGAAGGGCAGAAGTGGGAGGAAACTGTACACTAACCTCCAAAGTCCTGTTCGGCTTCTTTTGGCTAAATATAAACTATGTATCTGAAGAAGATTCACGATCTCTTCTCAGTGACTTTTCCAAAGTCTTTTTCTTTCCTCATAAATAATGAACTCTACTTTTTTTATAATTTAGAAATATTTTCTAACTTAGGGAGAAGCTGTAATAAATTGTTACATAGAACATTCATATGCCTTTTATCGACACTAACCTGTTCATATGTTTTACCCTATTTGCTTTATCTTTGTGTTCATACACACTGCCTTTCTCTCTCTGTCTCTACATAACACTGTGTGTAAATATTTACATATTTAAACATATTTATGTTTAATATTTATTCTAACATTAACATAATATTAGAAATCTGAGTTTCAAGCAATACATCCAATTCTTAGGTTCTTTCTTGCTTTCCTGAAATCCCAAATTTGTATTACATTTTTTTTCAGAGTAAAACCCCTGTTTCCTGACAATATTAACATATTTGCTTTCTCAATCTTATAATATATTTAAAATTATGTCAGAGTTGCTTCACCTGTCTTACTACAAAAAACAAATGTATCAAAAGAATTCAGGGTATTTTGCAGGTCTTCTTGCTACCCCACCAAGACTGGAGATGTGTGGTCAAATACTATCTTGGTAAATGTTCCTTTATTCATTTGTAATACACTTGGGTTAGTTTCAGTTTGTTTTCACTTTGTTATTATCATTCTTGTTGATTTATTTTTTGAATATGTCAGACATTGACATGCTTCTAGATGTCAAAAGTAAACAAAATATGTATACACATAGAAGTGTACCTTCTTCCATTTTGCCCTATCCTTGTGGCTTCCATCTTCATTGGTTTTGGTGATTATCCTTTCTTTGTTTTATAGAGATCACCAAATATATGAGATTGTTTCCCTTTTCTGTCTTAGACAAAAGATAGCGTACTATATTTGCCTTTTTGCACATTTTTTTCGTTTAACAATATCATAGAGATCAACCTTATTCTTTTCCCATTTGCATAATACTCCATGGTGTATATTATCTAATTCCTTATGTTTGAACATTTGGATAGTTTCCAACATTTCATAATTAAAATAATGCAGCAATATGCACATGTATTTTCATTTTGTTGGAGGGATTTATTCACAATGAATTCCTAGAAATGAAATTATTGAGTTGAAGGATAACCACTGATGTAATTTTATTAGGTGTCAAATTTCCTTTTGTAGCTATTATGTTACCCATCCCCATAGTGTAAGAGAATGCTCATTTCACAGAGGCTTGACTGAGAGCGTATTGTCAAGCTTTTGAATCTTTGTCAGCCTGATAGCTGAGAAATGACACTTCAGTGTAGTTTTTTTTTTTTTAAATTGTTTTTCCTTAGGTAGAGTCTTAGCTGTTTTTTTTGTTTTTTTTTTTTTAAGATGTATTTATTTATTTATACAAGCACTAGGTACAGTCAGAGGCGCGGGAGGGTGAGAGAATTCATCAGAGCCAGAGTGGAGAGCAGAACAGGCAGAGTGACGATGTATACTGCTAAGGGGAGCAGTGGGCAGCAGGAGAGGTCGGCGCACCATGTGGGACGCTCGCCTGGCGGCCAGGGATCGAACCGGCGCTGCAGAGGCTGCAGGCAGCTTCGCAACCCAGCGCTCAACCGCTGTGCCACCAGGAAGGCCCTCAGTGTAGTTTTAATTTGCATTTTTAAAAATCTTGACTAAATTGAAAAACCTCTATGTTATGCAGCAACGTAACTTAAAATTCAAAGATGCTAGGGGAAAGAATCAGACTTTTGGGGATGCCCAACTAAATGTTAGGCAGGAAGATGGTGGATCCTTGATTCATTACTTTCTCCAGGAACATTGAGGATAGGTGTCTGGAGGGCACAGCCATATCTAGGATAGAGAGCTGCAGACATGAGGAACAGTGTTTCAGCAGGGAGAAGAGACAGAAACCATTGGAAGGTATAGGAGAGACAGAGAAACAGTCAGGAACTAGTGGGGATACTGTCCTTCACCCACTGAATCTTCCGGGCTCTCTTGGAGTCCTGGCCTAGGGTGGAGAGTACACACTTCTGAGTGAGAGCATAACTTGTTCAAAAAGGGCACCCTGGCAGCTGGTGACTGGGTTTTGACAATGGAGAGAGCACTCATCTGTCTCCCATGCAATCTCTTGGCTCCTTTGGCTCTTGGGCCTGCTTTGGTGAGTCAGCAGGGGCTCTTCCTAGCATGATCTCTGGTGCTTCTCTATTCCAGTACTTCCCTGATCCATCTCCAAGCATATTGTTCATAGTCTTGTCTGCAGGGATGCCTGGATAACAGTAGAAAACTGGGATGATAACCCATCCCTCCACTGTATGACCCATCCCTCCACTGTATGACTGTATCTCACACTGTATGATTTTCAGACCTATGCCAAATGGTCATAGTCTATAAATGATTACAGTAAACACAGCCTGCAGAGCAAGAGAATCCCAGGTTTTTGTTGCCCACCTGGGGGAGCTGGCAGAGGTGCTAATCTGGATCTGGTGTGATATCTTGGACTTTCCTGCTTTAGCACTTTCCTGCTCCACAAGAGAGTACAGACTCTCGAGGCATGTTGCTTGTAGCCTTCTCTGCAGAGGGCTCCTGGACATGCTTCAGGAAGCCCCACCCACTCTTCCCTTATATGTGACTTTCAGGCAGGCTCCCATCATTTATATCCAGAAATGGCTAGTTTCTGTGTGCCCAGCCTGTGAACAAAGGGCATCCTTA